GCTGTCACGCTCAGCGGCTTTGCACGTGTGACCGCTCCACAAAATTTGCTCCGGTGTAAAATATATCGCAACAAAATATTTCGGTGCAGCGTCGGACCAAATGTGTGCCGTGTGAACAGGGCTATTGACAGCAGCTGTGATATAGGAGGCTCCACCCACCAATGCTCACCAAGGAAACTGTAAAACCAAACACACAGGCTTGTTTTTCTACATTTTGACATGACTTTAACCCAGTGGTCCCCAAACTTTTTCCTGTGAGGGCCGCATAACCTTTCACTTTGTGATGGCAGGCCGGGGTCATTTTGTAACAGAAAAAGTGTGACTGCAAGAGTACTTAAATGTAAAAATGTATTGTTTTCCATAAACCCACACAAAATCAAATATCCTTTTCTGGATTTTTCACAGAACAAAAATCAGGAAATACATAATAAGACTATTAACGAAATAAATAATAACTAAATAACCCTCCACGGGTTCTTCACAGAAAAAAAGCCAGGAAATAAATTACACCATTTATGAAATAAATAATAATCAACATTGCTCTGATGACATGGCATGACACCACAACCTTGATGACAGAATCCCAAGTCAAAACTTTGCAGCACAGTGCGTGCTTGCTGGTGTATTAGGCAGTGAATTTGAAACCTCGTTCTTCCATCTCCCAGTTCATGCGTCCTATTAGAACCTCGAGACGCGGACACCATACTCGGAGCCTCGTCAGTTGTGTTGCTGGCCGGCTTTGACCAGTCCAGGTCTAACTCTTCCATAGTTTGGTGCACTTTGCCGAAAATATCCTCCCCCGTCGTAGTCTCTTTGAGACTTTGGAGTGCTGCCAGCTCCTCGCACATCTCAAAGTTCGTGCTAACCCCACAAATAAAAATTAGCAGTTGCGCTATGTCCTGCACGTCCGTGATCTCAGTCCATGCTAATGAAAATAATTCTTTCGTCTTCTGCTGCAGCTGGGCATATACATTACCTGCGATTTCTTCGATACGTCTGGTAATTGTCGAACAAACTCGCTGATAGACTGGCGCTATTGACGAGGTCTTTCTTCTCGGGACACACCTCCTCCGCGACAGCACTCATGCATTTCTTGACAAACTCTCCATCAGTAAAAGGTTGACCGATGCTTGCTATCAGTTGAGCAACACGAAAGCGAGCTCGAACAGATGACTGGTCCAGCTGAGCTTGGCGTACAAGTGTATTTTGCTGAGCTAACAGTTTTTTTCGAGATATAAGATAAGATAAGATAACCTATATTTGTCCCACACTGGGGAAATTTGCAGTGTACAGCAGCAAGATTTGGGGGGGATAAAGTGTTTCATTGCACAAAATAAATGTTTCAGAAAAGAACTGTACACAGTTCAATATAAGTGCAATATAAAATAAAGCAAAGCATTTTGACCGTTTGCTCGCAACGTATTTGTCATTGTGACGGGATTCATAGTGTCTCTGCAGATTGTATTCTTTGAATACCGCCTCTTGACAGATGAGACAGACAGCCTTTTCTTTGCGCTGAACAAAAAAAATAATCGTGTGTCCACTTTGGGTTTTAATACCCTACATTCTGCATCTATTTTTCTCTTACCTAACCTTTTCACCATGATCCCGTTCTCTTCGAGAGGGGCGGGTTTAGGATTTTTTTTCTGGGGTTGGCAGATAATGACACAGACTGCAGAAAGGTGCAACAAATGTCATGTTATAGTATATGTGTTTATGAAATAGTTACTAATTAATAGTTAATAATGAAAAGAGTTCAGAACTAAGGAACATTTTATTGCAAAAGCCCAATTTTATTGTCAAATAAAAATCCACATCGATGAAAAATAAATCAAAGTATTCTCCGGTATTGTTCAGGGGGGCCGAACCAAATGCAGAAGCGGGCCGGATTCGGCCCGCGGGCCGTAGTTTGGCGACCACCGCTTTAACCCCTTAACGTTGCAATTTATTTTTAGTGATTCAGTGAGTTATTCAGCAAAAATCTTGTCCGTGTGTCTATGTCAGTATAAGAGCATGGAAATAAGGTCAAGTCGCAAATGTGGGTCTTGAACTGAAAAACTAAAACTGCTTAGAAAGTGTGAGTTTACATACTATTTTCTTCGTAGAGAAAGTTGGTGTGGATTTTTTGTCGGCAATCCGGCTTCCTCCAACATAAAAAAATATATCTTAAATCTAAATTGTCCTTTCATGTGAATGTGAATCCTGTTGTTCTATTGTGTGCTCTACAATTAGCTGGCGACCAGTCCAGGGTGAACCCCTCCTATCTTCCGAATTCAGCCGGGATAGGCTCCTGTTCACCCGTAACCCAAATGGATGCAATGAGTTTCCTCATTCATGCATGTGAAATGGGCAAAATACAACACCAACCACCCACTCGCCCTCATTAAGGTGGATACTTGCAGATGAGTTGAAGCCTCTGGACTTTTTTCACCAGTTATCGTTTGGGCAAAAATATCCATCCATCTATCAATCCATTCTCTGATCAGTTTTATCGTCATAAGGGTCGCGGGGTGGGCTAGAGCCTATCTTGGCTGTCTTTGGGCAGTAGGCGGGGGACATCCTGAACCGGTTGCCAGCCAATCACAGGGCGCGCATAGGTGAACAACTATCTGCGCTCACACTCACACCTAGGGACAATTTAGAGTGTTCCCTTAACCTGTCATGCATGCTTTTGGCCGGAGCCAGGATCGAACCCATGACCTCTGCACTGTGAGGTCGACGCGCTAACCAGTTGACCACCGGGCCGCCAGGGCAAAAATAACCATACACATTTCATTTTGACAGTACAGTGAAGCTCAGAAGCAGATTTTAAGGATCTGTGAGAAACCCTGAGTACCGTGAGTAACCAAGCTGAAGGGAGAATGTATGTACACTGAATGGCCCGAGCTAATATTCGAATCACAACGTCTCATCTCCTACTCCACTCCAATGTGTTATAATATACAACACACATCTATCATTCCATTTTCAATACTACTTATCCTGAACAGGAGTCGCAGAGGGTGCAGGAGCCTATCCCAGGTGACTATGGGCGAAAGGCGGACTACACCCTGAACTGGTCGCCAGTCAGTCAGGGTACATTTAGAAATCAACAACCATACACACCCACATTCACACCGTCATAGAATGGGAACGACCCCAACGCTGCCCGCACACAAGTCAGGTAAGTGTACCACTACATCATCAGCAACTACAACACACATCTTATAAATAATTGTATGACACAAATCTGAACAGAAAGCATCATTTATGGCATTTGATCTTGACACCAAAAGTTACAACAACAACAAAGTCACAGTTTCAATTAAGCACACTTAAGTGTCGTTGACGGGCTGTTGTGATCAAAAGCAATACTTTCAGGAAACCTCTTTCCATTCCTCCCTTTTCCAACCCTGAGAAATGATAAAGTCACGACATAAGATAACTGCCAAGGTACATTTGCGACTGACAGAAGTTCATCCATCCATCCATTTTCTGATCCGCATATCCTCACAAGGGTCGTGGGGTGTGCTGGAGCCTATCCTAAGGCTGTAGGCAGGGGACACCCGGTTGCCAGCCAATCGCAGGGCACACAGAGACAAACAACCACCCGCGCTAACACTCACACCTAGGGACAATTTAGAGTGTGCTCACTCAGCCTGCAATGCATGTTTTTGGAATGTGGGAGGAAACCGGAGTACCCGGAGAAAACCCACGCAGGCATGGTGAGAACATGCAAAGTCCACACAGGGAGGCCGGAGCTGGGATCGAACCTGATACCTCTGCACTGTGAGGTTGACTCGCTAATCACTCGCCCCTGACAGAAATTAAACAAGCAAATTTAGTTTGTTCACGCAATGTTATTTTTGCTTATTACAGTATAAAGACAACTTCCTTTCCTTTAAAATCCATATACTGAATAGAACACCCATTTTAGTGTCAGTGATAATTTGATTAGAATTCATTTACAACGTTGTGCACGTTGTAAACGTGCATGTTGTGCATAAATGCAAGTCGTTCTGGAGTAACGCAGGCTTTTACTTAAAAAAATGGAATAACTGTAACTTTATCTAACTCGCCCCTTGACAAGTCTGCAACTGCTGGATTGAGTTAGCCCGGCCCATCTGGTGCAGCAAATGTCTCCCAACTCACCAGGGAGCACGGGGAGGGAGAGAAGAAGAGGAGGAGGAGGAGGAGGAGAAGGAGGAAGCGGGAGTGGAGGGAGAGAAGGGGGTCGGATTGAAAACAGATCAGCAGCCCTGATGATCTCAGCACCACCGCGTGTCCTCACAGCAACTGTCCGCCAAACCGTTTCTAAGTTCATTTTGCTCCTGCTAACTTTTGACCAAAACTCTCGCGGCTGTTGGTGAAAGGAGCAGAAAGCGAGCCGCACAGAGCGCACCTTTTGGTGTTGGGGAGAGGATGGGTTGTAAAAAAAAGTTGGACGCGACTTCTTCTGTTTCGCTTTGAGCAAAGGCTGCACATTTTACGTTGTTTTAAAAAAACTTTTCCGAAACTTTGTACATGGGGTTTGGCGTCACACGCCAAGACGCCAGTTAGCGCCGTGTTCTTCCAGTTGGATTCCCGGAGGAATCGGACAGTCAAAAGTTAACGTCAGACAAAAAGAAGAGTGATAAGCAACAGCTTCGACGTGAAAAGATACGACGGTGGAGGTAAGGAAAAGTTTGTAGTGATGCTGACAACTGCATATCTTAAATTAAACAAGTCACTTTGACTTTGCTTTCTTTTCTCACGAATACGTCTTTTGTGCATTCTATTCACATTTCAAATCGTCAGAAAGTGTTCTGCTGTTTGGTGCCATTCCTCTTTCTTTCTTTTTATTGCATCGCGTGTCAACGGCATATGAGCAAGGCAACTTCACATTTTTTTTGTTTTGCACTTTGAACTTATCTGACATCGGAATCCCAACAATTTTCTCTTGCAACTTGATCCATATGGGAAGAGATGTGATCACAAAGCTCGGCGCCAGTGTCCCTCATGTAAATTATATTTCAAATCAAAACGTTTTTACCTTACTTGTTTCCACTGAACTGCGTCACTCAACTGCATGTTTTCATCAACTAAATTATAAGTGTAATTACAAAGCCCCCCGCCCCCCAATTTGTGCTATCTGCGTGGAAAAAAGGAAGTAATAACACTATCACAGTTCCTACTCTCTTAATGCTACGAAGCCAAAAATAAATAAACATCAGAGTGTGGGGAACTCAGCAGCAACAACAACACATACTGCATCACAGAGGCGCAGGATATGTGTACTTATTGTTGAAAGATTTAAAGTTTACTGTTTGCTCTTCAGCCTGAGCAGTCAACAAACACTTGACGTCTTTGTGGGCCCCTTGAGCAGCTATATTTGCTGTTGGCTTTACTATTATCTCTTCGACACTGCTAATGATCTTCAAACTCATCTTTGGGCTTATGAATTTCGCTTTTTTATCTGGATGCAAACGTCAAGTTATTTAACATTCAAAATGTATCTTTAGGCACTCAACATATGGGGCAGATCTTCCATCAGGCAGCTCACACGTCAAACAAGCCAGATGAACCTCAGGTCTACAACGCTTGGAAAATACTTTTTTGTTTTCCCTTAGACATTTCTCATAAAGTTTTAAAAAAAAGTTTCCAGGAAAAAAAAAATCTTGTTTTTAAACTGTTTTGCCAACTCAGCTGCAGACTTAGCTTCAAAACAATGGACATTGACCTCAATAAAAAGAGGTTTGGCACATTTCCACTTAAAACAAGATATAATTATTACAAAAAATCGAAAGAGTAAAATGTAAATAGAATTTAAAAAGGTAGCCTAACAGCTAACATTTTTTTTTTTTAAATCAAGCGAATGCGTGTTTTCCACTTCACATGATGACATACCGACTCAGGACCGAGGTGATTTGCATGAGTGAAAAAAAGAGTTTTAGTGCATTTGCCCATTGTGAGGAATGAAGAGTTCCAACAGTTAAAGCCTACGGGGAGTGAAAGGAGGAAAGAATGGCTGAGCCTATTCAGCTCATTCAGCCTCAGTTTGGGGGCTCTGCTCTGCAGCGTTCACAGACCTATAGTGGTCATGTCACTTTCATCTTTGCAGGCCAGCCTCTCTGTGTGTGTGAGAGAGAGAGAGAGCGTGTGTGTGTGTGTGTATGTGTGTGTATGTGTGTGTGTGTGTGTGTGTGTGTGTGTGCGCGCGCGTGTGCCTGCCCGCGTGTGAATTGGATGTTTGTACTGTATGCTGCTCTAGCCCCTATTTTCACACATCACTGATCTACACATCCCCTGCTTTATTGATGCGCTTCCTTTTTGTCTATTTTTTGGAATAAAAATCTGGTGGGGTGATTGCATTATATGTGAGCGTACGTATGTGTGTGTGTTGGAGGGGACGAGCCCAAGAAGAAGGCAAGTGAGAGGAGGCGGAACAGCTTTTTTGAAAGCAAATACCGATGAAGTCTAGCGTACAGGGACAGAGAGGAGGGTTTGAGAAGCGGGTGAACACAATGTGACTCTAAGGTGGGGGAGGAGCACACTCTTCTACTATAACCACCCACTCCTGCTGAGTGACCTCAAAAGGAGAAGGAAGGAGAAGGGTGTTCAAACCCGACTCATGCCTATCCACTACTTCATTGAGTGAAGTTGCCGTGCTTGACCAAATCAGCCATTCAGCGCCCATCGTAAGAAACTGCAGTTTGTGTGCGGTCGTTGAGGCCTCTGTGGTTTGGTGGAAAATTATTTGCAGTGGCATTTCACGCAGAGAGATGAAGACCATTTGCCCTTTTTTCCCCTCTAACTTCAGTTTTATGGAGAGTCAGTCAGCTCAAAATTAAAGTTGTAGGTAGTAGTCGTAGAATGGAAAGCTTTGGTGGAGGAACGTTTCTCTGGTTTGCTCCATTTATTTCAATTACAAAGGAAAGTTTTGAACATTAGTTATTGCCTTGTGCCATATTGAAAAGTAAATGCAGCTGAGTGAATTCCATATTTAAAGTTAATGAGGAGGTGCTTCAATGTGAAAATCTAATATTTGGACGTGCGCGAGATACCATTATACATTTTCAAACCATGATTACCAATCTGAAACGTTCTTTACGAATCTTACATCATTCACTTGAAAAAAAAAACAGCCGCACAATTAGTACACATTTTATGAGTTTGAAATACAAAATAGACAAGACAGCGTGCCGCATGTATGCATGTGCAGGAGTAAATAAACGAGTGTGGAAAGAAGAATCCAGGACGCGCGCGCGTGTGCCTGCCCGCGTGTGAATTGGATGTTTGTACTGTATGCTGCTCTAGCCCCTATTTTCACACATCACTGATCTACACATCCCCTGCTTTATTGATGCGCTTCCTTTTTGTCTATTTTTTGGAATAAAAATCTGGTGGGGTGATTGCATTATATGTGAGCGTACGTATGTGTGTGTGTTGGAGGGGACGAGCCCAAGAAGAAGGCAAGTGAGAGGAGGCGGAACAGCTTTTTTGAAAGCAAATACCGATGAAGTCTAGCGTACAGGGACAGAGAGGAGGGTTTGAGAAGCGGGTGAACACAATGTGACTCTAAGGTGGGGGAGGAGCACACTCTTCTACTATAACCACCCACTCCTGCTGAGTGACCTCAAAAGGAGAAGGAAGGAGAAGGGTGTTCAAACCCGACTCATGCCTATCCACTACTTCATTGAGTGAAGTTGCCGTGCTTGACCAAATCAGCCATTCAGCGCCCATCGTAAGAAACTGCAGTTTGTGTGCGGTCGTTGAGGCCTCTGTGGTTTGGTGGAAAATTATTTGCAGTGGCATTTCACGCAGAGAGATGAAGACCATTTGCCCTTTTTTCCCCTCTAACTTCAGTTTTATGGAGAGTCAGTCAGCTCAAAATTAAAGTTGTAGGTAGTAGTCGTAGAATGGAAAGCTTTGGTGGAGGAACGTTTCTCTGGTTTGCTCCATTTATTTCAATTACAAAGGAAAGTTTTGAACATTAGTTATTGCCTTGTGCCATATTGAAAAGTAAATGCAGCTGAGTGAATTCCATATTTAAAGTTAATGAGGAGGTGCTTCAATGTGAAAATCTAATATTTGGACGTGCGCGAGATACCATTATACATTTTCAAACCATGATTACCAATCTGAAACGTTCTTTACGAATCTTACATCATTCACTTGAAAAAAAAAACAGCCGCACAATTAGTACACATTTTATGAGTTTGAAATACAAAATAGACAAGACAGCGTGCCGCATGTATGCATGTGCAGGAGTAAATAAACGAGTGTGGAAAGAAGAATCCAGGACAGTCTTAAGTCTGGACTTAAGATAGAGGGAAGAGTGGAACAGTGAGCAGGAGATGGTGGCTTACATTCATCTGTAGAGCACTTCACTGAATTCTGTCCCTTTTACTTTTGGCATGTGGACAGCAGCAGACAACCCTTGCTTGTTTTAACGCCCGTTGTTTCACTCTCCTCAAGAAGTGGTTCTTATTCTTCTTCAAGTGTGAAGTTAAATAGACACCCATCATATCCTGCATGGGGAGAATGAGGTAGAGGGAGTGAGGTTGAGTACATTTAACCCTCTCCTACTTCCACCTCATTACCCTAGAGCAGCGATGAGAGAGCACTCCAGCCCCAGTGGAGAAACTGAGATCACACAGCATTGTACCACTTTCGAGTAAAACAGCAATCATGGAAAAAAAAAAGCGGGGTTCTGCGCAACCTACATCTCAAGTACTTTGTCTATTTCATTTAAAACTACCCCAAAGTGTATTCAGGAAAACTCAATTTTCAACTCAAAATACTAACAATTACTATAAGGCGTAACTAAAAGCTTTCAAGTTTCCCAAAAGCAGGCAGTCCGCCCTATAATCCGATGCGCCTTATGTTCCCCATTGAGTTGTTTCCCTGTTAGTGTTCCTTTGCCATCTAGTGGTGATTATTAGCAGGAACCAATTGTAAGCTAAAAGGGTTCTGCCCACCACTAATTGACATGTGCATTCACCAACACACAACTACAGACAACTAACTACTTTGTGAGCTCTGCTTAGCCATCATGAAACGAAGAGAATTCCAAAAGCACGGTTAACTACTGAATAAATGAAGGAAGAAGGAGACAAGCAAGACTTCTAAGGATATTTAGCCCCTTGTGGAACAGAGCCCAAGAGGTTGGTGTGCCTTTTTGTTGAATCAGTTGTCTTCAGAATTTTTGTCTTGATTGTTTTGTCATGCCATTTGTACGTATATGTTTCATGTCCGTGTTTGTGACCAGTTTTGATATGGCTTTGCTCTATATAAATAGAGCTGTATGTCTTGTGTTGTATTCCCTTTAGCGTAGTTCCATCTAGTGGATTTCACAACCGCAGCCATAATTGTGGCTTCAATTCTATGCACCTTATAATGCAGTGCGCTCTATATTTGAAAACAATTTTGAAATAGGCCATTCATTGAAGGTGCACCTTATAATCCGCAGCGGTTTACCGTGACGAAAATACTGTACATTTCTCTATCCAGCATATGATGCATTGTGTGTCATCACTCGGGCTGCCAAGATCAGCTGACTAGTCACAATGACGTCCACGATCAAAATCATCGATAATTAATTTAATAGTTGATGAGTTGTTTATTATGTAGCTATTGATTTGCCGCTTTGTTTGTATCTCGTCTCTCGCTGGCTGTAAACCTTCACTGTGAC